CACAGTTATGTTTGAATATAGCATTCCTTCCATTTCTGCACTTTTTATATTGAACAACTACTTTACTGAACTGTGACATCTCTTAATTTCAATTAGAAAAACAACTCCCCAAACACAATTCTTATTTCCTGATATGATTTTGTTTAAAATTTGACCTTATGAATTTTTATTAAAGAAATGTCAAAAATATTGGTTTATTAAATATTAAATGTCTGATTTCAAATCAAAAGTGTAGTTTATTATATCTCAAGAAGCAGTACAATCAATCAAAATAAGCACCTAAACTAATCAACAGTTTTGCCATCTTAAAGGTAGCTCGTTTATGCCAGCAGCGACGAAGCCTGGAGAGCAAGTGGCAATGAAATCGCAAAAGGCATTTTCCACAGCTTGTTGAGAATTCAACAGTTTTCCTTGCAAGAAGTGATCCAAAGCCTGGAAAAAGTGGGAGTCGGTTGGTACAAGGTCTGGTGAATATAGTGGATGACAAAGAGTTTCCAAGTCCAGCTGCTATAGTTTGAGCAGCATTGTTTGTGCGACATGTGGTCGAGCATTGTCTTGCAAGAGGATTGGCCTGTTCCTGCTGACCAATCTCAGCTGCTTAATCACAGTATCTTCGTCATTTAATCCAATTGGTGGCAGACATCTGCTGTAATCAATTGGCCAGGTTTCATGAAGCTATAGTGGATAATACCAGCATTAGACCAACAAACACACACCATTAGCTTTTTTTGATGAATATTCAGTTTTGGACAGTGTTTCGGCACTTCATCTTTATCCAGTCATTGCTTGAGATTGTTAAAAAGAGTCCATTTTTCATCACACGTAACAATACAGTGTAGAGATGGTCCACCTTTATGTCATGACAGCAAAGAAAGGCAAGTTTGGAGACCATCTCTCTTCTGACGCTCTTTAATTCATGCTATACTCATCTATCCAGCTTTTTTACCTTACCCATTTGTTTCAAATGGTCCAATATTGTTGGAATAGTAACGTCAAACCTTGCTGCTAATTCATGCATAGGTTGAGATGGATTTGCTTCCACTACAGCTTTCCCCTCATCATTTTCCCCCTTGGTCTCAGGTCATCCACGTGGCTCATTTTCAAGATTAAAATCACCAGAAATGAACTTCTCAAACCATCCACATACTGTGTGTTCAATAACCGCATCCTTCCCAAACACTTCGTTGATATTTTGATCTGTCTGTGCTGCATTGGTTGCAGGACAAAACTCGTATTTGAAAATAACACGAATTTTTGACTTATCCATGGTTTCACAAAAATTACTCTAAAGAAATTGAAAGATAATCACAAGCCAAAATGTGTCTTTGGAAGACTAAGGATGTACCTTCACAATAAAAATAAACCAAGAAGTGTCAAAGTGAAACGTCAGAGAGATCAACTGTCAAACTTAGTACTTAAGGAAATCAGACATTTCATACTTAATAACCTAATATTAACCAAGTGATTAAACAAACGTGTACTGTATATCTGTTAACTTTCAATCAGTAAAATGGTTACTTATATGATGTTGGAGTGAGCAAAAGCTTATCTTCAATAAAAAGCCCATGTGAGTAATAGAGTTAGTCTTTTAAGGTCACCTTTGCAAAATTGTATTACATTTTAAAGGCTGAAGGGGAGGATAGGTTTTTCTTTTTTGTTTTGTTTTGTTATTTTAGGGATGAAATTTTCATTATTCTTCTTCACAGCAAGAAATTAGCGATCGCTAGACAAACTTAAAAAGTAGACAAAGTTTGTCCTTCCCAAACTAGTATCTCCCACTTGTTTTGGAGTAATATAGAACATGTTGAATCTTAGCAGCCCCAAACCTACAAATCTCACCCTACCCTACCTTTTTCTTTGTCCTTTTCCCTTAAGATCTTATTTTCTACTAGAAAATTATGAGTCAAACCCATATGCTCAGATAAGATTTGCAAGGAAATAATCTAGAAAAATGACTATTAATGTAAGTTTTCTGGCATCCAAAATTAACAGTGGGAAGGCAGGAAGCTTTTTTGCTGAGGTTCCACTTGCCTTCACTATACTATACATAGATTCCAACCTGAAGAGGATATATTTTTATTTCCAAAGGTATTATTGTCCTATTTTTCTATAACTTGAAACATCTATAAGAAGTGTCCTAAAGAACTAAGATCACATGTAACTCAAGAAATTCTTTACTCCTAATTGCAAAGTCATTAAGATTCTACTAAGAGATACCCATCAGGACAAAATAAGTCTCAGTCATTACTATCACTGAGAAGCTTGTATGAAAACACATAAAAGGACATATATTTTGAGGATGCAGCTAAAAACTTGCCATAGCTACTTTATACAATGCATTGATTAATCACAAGATATAATTTAGCATGTAAGTTTACATTGATTCTCTAAATTTCTTGTAACAGTGGCAAAAATGAAAAATGTAGAACCAGCAAGTGTTTTTTCTAATCCCATATATCTTTTGTCCCCTGATCTGCCTATTTTTTCTCCACAGCCTTTAGTGATTATATATTTGGTTTCATTTATTGGCTTTGTCTACCCAACTTGGGAATAAAATATAAGTTCTGTGAGAGTAGAGATTTCTTTACTGCTGTATTTCTAATGCCTAAAAAGAGTCTGACACATATTAGGTGCTTAATAAATATGTGATGAATGAAAAGGAACAATACCACTATATTCACAGAAAGATAATAGAGATTCCACTATAGTAGAACAACATGAAAGGAGATAAATGACTGATGGAAATGCCAGCACCATTCTGTATCTATATCTGTGTATGTATTTATAGCTGTATCTATATCTATACACCTGAAAGAGCAATGCTGAGTTGATTTACTTCAATTTTGAACAATTATTAGTAGTTTCCTTTCTTAAATTTAGTGTATTATGAAGCACAATTATATTTTCCCTCACTCTCTAGGCTTTTTAGTTTATATTGCTATGTAATTCAAATGTCTTTTAGCATAAGTCACTTTAAAACAGTGTTGGAAATGAATAAAATATGCCTTTTACTAATCATGACATCTTAATTAGAAAAATATTCCCTAGGCTTAGTACTAGACACTCAGAAGGAAGTGTATGTTCACCTATCCTTGTTTTAAGATTTCTGTCACCTTGAAAACCGAAAACATAAGAAAATATTACGATAGACTCCCGCCCTTCTCCCAAAAGGAAGTAGCATATTCTCTTTACTGAGAGCCAGAAAGACAAGAATGTTGATAATAGTATAACAGGATTCCTAGTTCTAACTGAATATTAGACTTCCAATAAATCTATGTTCAATCAAAGTGCTTGCTAACTTATCTTCTCTGTTTATAGACTGTATATACAAGAGCCTTTTGTTTCCATAATTACAGAATACACTGAAATAAAATTAATTTTGCTAGCAAATAACTCCAGTTATTTAGTTCCTGTCCTTTCAGCTCATACCTTCCCAGCACTCTTTATCACTCCATTCACTCCAAATTCCATCATCTGCACAATAAATATTCAATTTGCTTCTTACTATAAAGCATAATTGTCGGCTTTCATTTGTTATTCTCATGATGTGCACTTCATTTTCAACTGTGGTAGTCTGAAAGCAAGGAAAAAATAAGATGCAATTATTTGATCTAAATGCTGCTGGACAGATTCCATACCTGTCACTTTCAAAGTGGGTTTTGTTGCATAAAATATGTACATCAAAAGACTAGAAAGGCATAATTCTAGCAGTGATTCTCTTTCTGTATGGTGGGGTTTTTTAAGTCATTTCTTTTGCCTTTATTATCTATATTTTAAATTTTTTCTATAGTGATAATGGATCACTTGTAGTCAAGGGCAGCATGTGTGAGAGGGCAAAATTCCTAGGTAGTCTTGCTGTTTATAATGCCCAGTATTTGAACTAGTGTCAAATTTCCCAGATTCCATAAACTGGAACTTGCTACATACCCTGAGTTACCAAAAGACAGAGCCATCGTGTGAATGTTGTTTCTATGGAAAGTATAGAGTTCATATACATAAAGTTTTTCTTCCCCCTATTCTTATTTTGGTAAACCTCCATAAGACCTGTGTAACAGTCCTCAGCACTTGGCACAAAACTACCACTTCAGATATGAGAATATCACAAGGCTGGGTGATCTCAGACAAAAAAAAATCACTGAAGCAATTACTTCAATTTTGCATTTCGAAGAGCTGAAGAATTTTTCTCATTCAAAATAACAGTTTTTGTTGTAACTTATCCTGGGAACCAGCATAATGTAGTATAGACTTCAGTGGACTGGGAATCAGATGTGGATTCTAGTTCTAGCTGTGTAAGTTGATTGTAAGTCAACTCACCTCCCTGGGACATATGAGTCAATACAACAACCAGTTTTCTCATCTGCGTATTAAATGAATTAATTATTAAATAGAACCAATGACTCACCTGCTTGTCTCCATCATTCTCTAAATTGGAAACCAATGAATAAAATTGATGTATAACAATATATATTTTTTTTAAACAGAGTCCTGCTCTGTTGCCTAGGCTAGAGTGCTGTGGCGTCAGCCTAGTTCACAGCAACCTCAAACTACTGAGTTTAAGCAATCCTTCTGCCTCAGCCTCCCAAGTAGCTGGGACTACAGCCTTGTGCCACCATGCCTGGCTAATTTTTTCTATATATTATCAGTTGTCCAACTAATTTCTTTCTATTTTTTTTTAGTAGAGACCGGGTCTCACTCTTGCTCAGGCTGGTCTCAAACTCCTGACCTTGAGCAATCCTCCTGCCTCGGCCTCCCAGAGTGCTAGGATTACAGGCGTGAGCCACCACACCTGGCCTGATGTATAACGATATGAGATTAAAGGGATCACCACATTGTTGCTGCTTGGGGGTAATTAGTCTTACAACCATTATCTATTTCTTCCTCAGTTAGCTCCTCTTCCCTGGTACAAGCAATTCTCTTGTAGCCCTGCCATACTCTAATATTGACCTCAAGAAGTAGTCTTTGTGTTTGGGTTTTTTCTTTTGTTTTGTTTTTACCTGGGGCCTCTTCACAATCTATTTTAGACCTGCAGCAACTATAATTTATTGACACAAAATCAGAAACAAGTAACTAGATTATCTCTAAGGTCCTATGTAGCTTTAAAATTGTTATGATTGATTATGCCTTCAGACTGCAAACATCTTTCTTTTGTCCACTAGATTATATGGCTTTCTGGAAATTAAACTGAGATCCATGTCATGTTCTGTTCCTCATGTGGATGCAACTTATTTTGGTTCTCATGTTCACTATTTCATTTAAAAGTCTATGTTTATGATTTTCCCAAATTAATGCAGTATTCATACCACCCAGGTAGTATCATCTTCTGTGAATTCAATTTGATAAATGAAACACTTTGCTGGAATTGGTCCTCTAGGCAAGCTCCATTTCAGGTTAATTTCACATGAATTTGTCATAGTAAGACTAAGGTAGTCTGGTGGCAAAGGTTTAACTGAAAAGCAAAAGGAAATCATTTCAGCACGGAAGTTGTTGAAGTTTAGAGTAGCCCTTATCCAAAGCTGGAGACACCTAGTAACAGAAGCCTCCAGGGATAAACCAGGTGACTCAATACTATTCCTTATGGTATGAATTAAAATCAAAACTGCTTGCCAACCAAAATGAGTTTATTGAGAAACTTAGTTATTTTGGAAACTCATTTTTTAATAAGCCATGCACTGGCAAACATTTAAGCCTAAGAGAAAAGTTAGAAGACCCCAAATCATTACAATCATTTTCCATTTTGTAGCATTAGAAACAACAATCAGAACCAGTACTACTACTACTTTTACTCATAGCTAACCCTTATTTAGTGCTTATGATATGTTAGGCACTAGACCAAAGATGTTGCATCATAATCTCATTCATGTCTCAGAATAAACCTATGAGGTGGTCCTCTATTGTCCTCATTTTACTAATAAGGAAATTGAAACGAAGATGTTAAGTAACTTGCCCAAAGTCACACAATTAGAAAGTGGTAGATCCAACACTCAAACTGAGGTCTGGCTGACTCCAGAACCTGTCACTCTCGTAACTGTTAGAACTGAGAACACACACTCAGAAAATATCCAATAATTTGCCTATGGAGGCCTGGGAATCAGTAATTCCATAATTACTCCATGACTAACACTAGATAAAAGTGCTATAGAGCAGATGGACTCTCTGAAGCTGGGAAATAAATTGTGAGTTCTCTATTAAATTGTGAGTTCTCTATGAAATTGTGAGTTCTAAATGAATGGGAGTTAAAATAAATTGTGAGTTAATTTTATTTTATAAAAATAATTCTGGATGATACTGCCTTTTATATATTTAATTTTATCCTTCATTCATTTTTTTATCTTCTATTTTTTTATTAGAGCATGTTTCTTTATTGGTTCATATTACATGGTTTACATACGCAACTATAAAAGGCAAATGCAACCATGCTTTCTTTAAGATGCATCATAAACTGTTTTCTTTCAGTGACTGGAAGTGTATGACAGAGAACCATCTTTGTAACTTTTATAATTAATAAGAGCTTCCTCATAGACTCTCCCATCCCTCATTTCCTTAGGTGTCTCTCTCATTCTCTCTCTCTCCTCCCCTCTCTCAAGTGGTTGTAAATGGCCCAAACTAGAAACAATGAATTTGAAAATTTTGTTAGTTTACATCACCTAGATTCTGAAGTTGAAAAATGAAATAGCTGGCTCTGATAGGCTTGGATTCTGATGATCCATTAACACAGATATAGAAATTTGTGTAGTCTGATGACTCCAAATATAGAAACCGGCATCCAATATTTTGTCCATTAGCCTTGATGTAATTGACACACTGTAATGCATGATCCAAGCCCTCATACCTATAAAAAGAAATGTTGTGAGAATTATGTTTAACAATATCTTCTAGTATCATGGTGCTCCATTTTAAATTATCTTAAGATACCATGTGAATTTAAAAATAATTTAATACTGTGCAATATTTATCGAACACCTACCATATGCCAGAGCCTGTGATAAGAGCTAGGAATACAACAGTAGGTAAAGCAGACATAGTCCATGATTTCATGGAGCTTACAATCTGATGGCAGTCTTCACAAAATCTCAAAGATAAAACAAGGATTATTACTCATGTACTTAGGTTATGTTGACTCAGCAACACTGTGAATCAGAATACAATTCCTATTAAGAAAACCTGGAATTTATAAAAATAATCCTGGATGATACTGCCTTTTGCATATTCTACTGGGGAAGTTATTTTAAAAGAGAGCAGATTTAAAAACAGACTTATGAAATATTGTCATGTGTAATAAAATGAATGAAAATCCTCTGAGGATTCAACACATATCAAAAGCTAAACCTCAGAAAAGCCAACTTGGAAAGGGAGGTGTCAAAAAGAAAAGGAAGAATTGTTTAGCAAGCAAATGTTTAATTTTCCCTTTCTCCTAAATAAGAAATGTTATTATATCATTTAAAGTTAGCCTCATTCCAGTAATAAAGCTAATGGAAATTAGGGGAGATTTCCCTATCAATTTCCAAAACAACAAATGACTAGCTTATTTTCCTAAAGAATAGCTTGCAATGCAAAATGTGACATTATCTGTAAAAGCAGCCAAAATCCCTTTTGAAATGAGGCCAATATAGCAGCTGATAAGGTGCTGGTACAGATATCTGGACTCTACTAAATTAATTTTATGCCAAGTGTTTACTTTAGGCAGAGTTTACAAAATTGCAGTCTCTTCAATTCAGTTCACCTGATTAGAGTTTGAGAGACTTGGGTTCTAGGCTTGACTTTATACAGATTTACTTTATACCAGTAGGGAAGCCTCATGACACCCTTATTTTCCAATCTCTAAAATGTTAATATTATCCCTCCCCTATTTTGGTAAGATGAGGATATATTAAACATGAACTACAATGTGCAAGAAGGTAGAGACTTTGTCTTATTCATGCTTTTCTCCTTTTTATCTAGAACAGTGCCTGGCATTTAATAGATGCTTAATATTTATTTGAATCAATTAACAAATAATTTAGACCTTAGAAATTTACCAATCCAATTTCAGATGAGGAAATGGAGACCCCCAAAGGGGAAATTACTTGCTCGAAGCCACAAAATTAAATGATGCCACAGCAGGGATTAGAACCCAGTTCTCAGGATTATTAATAGTTTATGCCTTATCACTTACATATTATGATTTTTTTAAGATGCCATGCCAATCTGGGCCTAAAACTCACCAGTAATAACACTTAGTCTTCTCTTGATTTGTCTTTTATTTAGTAAATGCATAAGTTCAGATACTTATCTATCAATTTACCAATGCTATCATCATTTGTTTCATTCATTTAATGAATATTCAGTGATAATCTACTATGGGCATAGCACTTCCCAGGTAGTCAAGAGAAACACAAGAAAAAGTTCATGTCCACTGATCCCCTAAAAATTTCAAAACAGACAAAGTACACACATGGAAAAACTTAAATACCACCTGGACAATAAATAATTAAGAACTATAAACAGTAACAGTTCAAAGAAAAACTGAACAGAAGCTAACATAATCAGTAAAGGGTTAATGAAATTGGAGGGCAAATGGGCCTTGAAGGAAGGATAAGGTGGTGAAAAAAAAAGAAAGCCAGAGGGCATGCCAGAAGTCAATGCATGCAAAGAGTGAGAAAGAAAATAGAGATGAATCTAAATGGAGTGGAACATTCATACTGGAGATAGTAGGTGGTAATTTTGGAAAGGCATTATATATGGTGAAGCAAAGATTTGAATGGCAGCCTAGATTTTATCATGGGGGCAATGAGTAACCACAGGAAGTTTTTGAACAAGGGAATGGCATATGAAAATGGCTGTGTAGGAAGATTAAGCTGGATACAGTGTGAAGAATGAACAGAAAGGGGCAAGAGTTGAAGGGGACAGATTGGAAGCTGAGTGACCATCATTTGGGAAACAATGGCAATCATCTAGATGTGGAATGAGAGGAGCCTAAAGTAGAGTTCTTACAGTAGACGTGGGAAGTAAAGAATAGAGGTGCAACCTTACAAAGGAAGGTCAGAGCATGGTGATCATGTTACCCTGCAACAATTAAGAAATGAAAGTCTTGGGAGGCCGAAGCAGGTGGATTGCTCAAGGTCAGGAGTTCGAGACCAGCCTGAGCAAGAGCGAGACCCCGGTCTCTACTTAAAAATAGAAAGAAATGATCTGGACAACTAAAAAAATATAGAGAGAGAAAAAATCAGCCGGGCATGGTGGCGCATGCCTGTAGTCCCAGCTACTTGGGAGGCTGAGGCAGAAGGATAGCTTGAGCCCAGGAGTCTGAGGTTGCTGTGAGCTAGGCTGACGCCACGGCACTCACTCTAGCCAGGGCAACA